AAATACGAACATAAAAAAATAAAAGGCATTTTATTAGGATTTTATTCAAGCATCAGTTTCCTGTCTGTCAGAATGGCTAGACAAGAACTATTATAATATTTTAATGAATTAAACATAAAATTTATGATGTAACTATTAAATAAATTACTATATGTATGTTTTATTACCAGAGGGAGACTTTGTACAAAAGTCGATTGCTTGGGTACCTCAGTCCCATTCGTGTTTCTACCGTGAAATAGTTGTGTTTGCATGGCTGTGTTTCGGTTTGAAGGGTGGGATATAGCGTGAATTTACAAGGTCCAGAGGAATAACATCTGAGTCCTCAGGAATGGCAACGCATGGGGGGTATCATGGGCGAAACAATAAACTCTGTTATGTCCATGGTACTGCTTACGTCTATAGGCGACGGTTACCACTTTCCATCAGGTGGGCCGTCAGCTTGTTTGCCATTCTAAGTTGTATAAAAAAAAAATAACTAGATCATGCAAATAATTTTACAGATTGTGAGTATCTCTACTGTATTTATATTTTATCATGTAATTAATTATATAAATGTATAAATAATGAATATATATGTAATTTGGAACAACTTAACAGTGTTCTATATGAAATAGAGGACAATTAATTAATGTATTAACATCTTTATAACCTCATGTCACATTAATAAACAATTAAACAATACTAAATATTTTATACACAAACTAATATATGTATCAATACATATAATAAAATCGTAATTGGTCGCTGCCTGTACATGGAAGATATATAAGAAAAACTATTACATATAAAGCACCCCTTTAAGAACGCAATAGAATCCAAAACAATGATTTTTAGAATTTTTGACTGTTTATCTGTACGTTTGTGCACGCTAATCTCAGAAACGGCTTAACCGATTTCAATGCGGTTACTAATGCGTTGTGGTGTACTCCACTTAACATTTAGTGTTTGTTTTGTTTCAATCGGTTCATAAATAAAAAAAGTTATATCAATTTAAAGAATCACATATGAAATGCTATAAAATAACCGATCAGTTGTATGAGTTGGAACCTTATGAAGGTATTAAGTACGTAATTATCTTTTTTTTATGGGTGAAAATGGTGCGGTAACCCCGCCTGTGCTAACGGGATACGCTGGCGGAGCACCAGTGAAGGGTGATAGATGAGAATGAAAACAGGCCAGTTAGACCATCATGATGAATTCATCAGGAATTAACCATGATAGTTTCAAGGGAGAACCGCGAGGACGTCGACCTGGTTAGATATAATGCTAGCAATGGGATTCTCAGTCTCCACTACTAACAATCCCTTTCCCCCCAAAAATATCATTTAAGTATATAATAAAATATAAGATCGGATTCATAAAGAGTTCCAATGGGAATGATATACGGGAACCATATATTTAGAAGCGAGCAAGGCCGCGGGAACCGGCTAGCATATATACATACACATATACAATATATATAATAGACAATAATGGAATAATAGCCCCGCCTGCACTATCAGTAAACGCTGACAGGATACCAGCAAGAGATAAGATGATAATGATAGGAGAGTATGAAAGCAGGTCAATGAGCCCAATGATGAATTCAAGAATAAACTGCGATGACTTCCAGGGAGAACCGCAGAGAGGTCGACCTGACAGAGTATATTGTTAGAAATGGGAGCTGTTAGACCCCTTTACTAACAATCCCTTGTCCCCAATAATATCTAGTAAGAATAGTAACCTAGCTAGCGGAGCGCCAGTAAGGAATGGCGTATAAGGATCCCCAACGTGGTGAACGTTTTTCAGGGAGAAACCGCGTGGAGATCGACATGTTAGGGTACGTTGTTAACAATGGGGCAACTAGTCTCTATTACTAACAATCCCTTCTCCCCCCTCCCCTCACAATAATAATATTGTCACTACGCGTGTGACATACGCAACTACTTGTCTGCGGTGATATTAATACGTTGCCATTAACCCGTTAAAAGACAGACGGGTCATAATGACCGAATACAATAAATAAACTTTTTTTTTACGCAACTTAGAATGGCAAACAAGCTGATGGCCCACCTGATGGAAAGTGGTGACCGTCGCCTATTGAAATGAGCAGTACCATGGGCATAAGAAAGTATACTGTTTCGCCCATGACACCCCTCCCCCAATGTGTTACCTTTCCTGAGAACTAAACTGTATCAAAATAAACTTAAAAATGGAATATAATTGGAATCAAATCACAGTCATCGGATATCGTATCGATATCAAATGTATTTTACTTTTTACATTAAATTTAATGGAATTGATCATAATTCGATTTTCGATGTAGTCCCGAAAACTGTCCAGCAATTTCCATTACTGTCATATAAAATGTTACAACTGTCCATCAATTTAAATTATTGATGTGTTTGGAATTTCGGACCATATTATCGTACTTTTTTTTTATATAGGTAATAATGAAATAGTAACCCCACCCGCGCTATCGGTATACACCGGCGGGGCACCAGTGAAAAATGATAGGTGAGGATGAAACAGGTCAGTAAGCCCATCGTGACGAATTCAACGAGAATTGTTCACGATGGTTTCCAGAGGGAACCATGTGGAGGTCGACCTAATATTGCTAGCAATGGGGCTGTCATACTCCATTGCTAACAATCCCTTCCCCCCTATATTATCGTACTGTAAAGGACTAAAAAGAGCCAATTTACATATTATTGTTTTTTTTTTAATGATGAAACAATTTCTAATTCCTTACTGGCACGATTGTAAAGAACAGTAAATTAATAAATTTTTATATGTTTTTTCATTCATATCAGACGTTAATTCTGATCAACATAGGTTCAGCAGTAGAGTACTAGCAAACCCCCCTTATGGGGGAAGCCTATGTCTTCCTCATAAAGGAATTTTGCTAGTAGTTGCCATGCTTGATAGGCGGGTTGGCAACCACAGTTAGGCTCTGGTGGTGTTTTAAGTGTGACGCTGCTGTCCATCTGTCGACCATTAAATTCCCTTAGTCGCCTTTGAAGACACTCACGGAAAAGCCCATTCTATACCGGAACCACGCAGCAATATCAAAAATTTTATTAAATAAATATTATTATTATTATATACTTTATTACACTTGTAAAAAAAAAGATACAGGGATTAGATTGACAACTTATCTCTGAATATTGTTTAAAGAGACATAAATACAGTTATACTATTATAATACATATTGTATATATATATATATATATATATATATATATATATATATATATGTATGTATATATATATATATATATATATATATATATATATATATATATTCGCCCTGACTGGCTTAACAACACATAAACAGGCACAGGAGTTAAAAACATGAAATTGAAAAGCAACAAAAAAATCTAAACTAATACAAATAGAAATAGTTTCTTTGCAAAGATATGAGCATAAAAGTAATTTTGCAATGAATATTCCTAAAATTGTTTCATCTGAAATAAATTTAGTTGATGATAATCAAAAACCCGTAATTTTTAAAGTTGGGAACAGAATTAAATTTCATGCCCTTTATTTTGAAAATCATAGACTTCCATACACTTTTTTATCTTTTACTTATATTTTTAAGAGAAATTGCGAACAACAACTAGTCTAAATAAGTTAAAATACTAAACATTTTATAAGCAAACAAAAATAAACTGCGGTGATATTAATAGTTAACTAACTATAAGTTACCAGAGGGAGACTTTGTATAAAAGTCGATTGCTTGGGTACTTCTATCCCATTCGTGTTTCTACTGTGAAGCAGTTATGTTTGCATGGCTGTGTTTCGATTTGAAGGGTGGGATATAGCGTGAATTTACTGAGTAAAGAGGAATAACACCTGAGTCCTCAGGAATGGCAACGTATAGGGAGTATCATGGGCAAAACAGTATACTCTGTTATGTCCATGGTACTGTTCATGTCTATAGGCGATGGTTACCACTTTCCATCAAGTGGGCCGTCAGCTTGTTTGCCATTCTAAGTTGTATAAAAAAAATATATCAAGCATAATGTGAACAACAAGAAATAGAACAAGCACAAATATACCTAAATAAATATACAACCGTACCAGTACCTCCAACTGCGTATATAAATATTTGATTGTTTATGTATGCTGACCTACTGGAAACGTGCAAATACAAATTTACATATTTCATTCAACACTGTATATTGTAAATCACAATAGAATACAAATTTTGATCGAATAAGCGAAACAAGCAGAATTTTGTTCTGCAGAAACAATAGCCACTTCTATCGTGATATATATATATATATATATATATATATATATATATATATATATATATATATATATATATATATATATATATATATATATATATATATATATATATATATATATATATATATATATAATGTTATAATGGTTCAATCTCAGTATTTTTTTTATTTACAACTTAGAATGGCAAACAAGCTGACGGCCCACCTGATGAAAAGTGATACCGTCGCCTATAGACATGAGCAGTACCATGGACATAACAGAGTATACTGTTTCGCCCATGATACCCCCATGCGTTGCCATTCCTGAGGACTCAGGTGTTATTCCTCTGTACCCTGTAAAATCACTGCCGTATCCCACTTTTTAAACCGAAATACAGCTATGCAAACATAACTGCTTCACAGTAGAAACACGAATGGGAATTATTTGTGTAAAAAAAATTAAACATTATTTGTGTTCTGAATTTCATAGATAAGTTATGGTGCTATAAAGTAACAAACAAACAAATTTTCACGTTTTTAACATACTCCAAATATTTATATACATATTATATTCTTTATATTGCAAATATTTACAATAATAATACCTTAACAAAATAATATCAACGTTACATAAACAATTATATAAAAAAAATATGTTTATGTACTTATAATTTTTATGACAAAAAATAAATGAAAAAATGTCACGCGGTCCAAATGACACCGTAGTGTTAGTAAACTGTTTACTCACTTCGTAGATTGCCAGCTATTTATATAGGTACAGCTGAGTCAGTCCAACCGTCGGTATTCTATGTCTCGCGCGAGTGCACGCCGATCGTCTGCATTCACGATCGATCCGACTCGATTCTATCGATCACGATCATCGATCTATCGTAATTTTAATTTGACTTTATTGCTACAGCGTTTGAACTGTTAATATTTAAATCTTTACTGAAATGTGTATTTTGTTGTTGTGAGAGTTTATTGTTATAATGTGTAAGCTTTTTATTGTGTGAACAGTTCAGTTTTTTTTTTATTTAAAGTAAGTATTCTTTTTTTTATTTTAATTTTCTTTTTATTTACAATTTTATTTCAATTTATTACGATTTTATATTATTTTTGTTATACAAAACAGATGTAATAATCAATTCAGAATTGCCAATGAAATTGTGAAAATCAGTCGAATTACCTTCTTTTTTTAAAAGTCACTTAAAAATGCTTAGTCTATTGAACATTTTACATGCCATTTTATAATAATGGGTTACCATTAAATCCTACTGTTGGGCACAATTCTTTCCTTCTAAGAAAAGCATGATGATGTTATTTATTATCCTTCATCAGGCACAAAGGGCTTGTAGAAGAAACTTTCCACTTATGATTGGTCTTCTCTTACCACATATTTACCAATTTTTTATTTGATATAACTGTTTAGTCTCTGTAGCATATATCCAATATAAAAAAAAAATTCTATAAGGTCGATCGTTCTAAAAAAAAAAGACATATTTTTTACTCAAGTAAACTTTAAACACTTTTGATTTTGAGTAATTTTTTTTTAATTCTACCGCCCATTCGTAATACAATTTTAGTTGACCAAACGGCTTGGTATAACGTTTTATTTTAAATACTCCTTCTCTTATGTATATAATATTAATATTCACTCTTAGATATTGTGCTTGTTTACCTTAATCATATCTTACAACATTTCTACGGATGACAAAAATACTGAATGCTAGTAGTCCTCAGGAATGACAACGCATGGGCGAAACAGTATACTCTGTTATGTCCATGGTACTGCTCATGTCTATAGGCGACGGTTAACACTTTCCATCAGGTGGGCCGTCAGCTTGTTTGCCATTCTAAATTGCATAAAAAAAAGTTGCTAACATGATGTATTTTTAATAATAAATACTTTCATAATTAAAAAAAAAATTAAATAGCTTCGTCTGTTTATCATATTACATATAATAATAATAATAAAGTTTATCCTCTTCACAATACTAGTTGTACATCTATTATATTCTAATACATTTATTTTTGGAGGTTACATAATTTAATGTATTGTGAAGAACTGGTGTCTGAAGTAGGATAAACCTGTGTTACAGATCACCAGGTCCTCACCCCACGGTGTTGGCACTATATTACAATTTGTTCTGGTTATGAATATAATAACAACATTAACACATATATACATATAAAAATAACATATAAAATATACATATATAAATATGTAATAGGTAATGTCAATGAGCATTATTAATTTTATGGTATTATTGTTATCATTCATACCGTGTATGTATAGTAAATATTTACTGTCTCAATATGTATTCGTTATCATTGAAATAGCATATTATATGATTGCAATGAATGTTTATGGAAGCAAATAATAATAGTTTGTTTACATTATAAACACACCTAACCGTTTTGTTCCAGGGGGGAAAGGGATTGTTAGTAATGGAGACTGAGAATCCCATTGCTAGCAATATACCCAACCAGGTTGACCTCCTCGCGGTTCTCCCTGGAAACTATCATGGTTAATTCCTTATCAATTCATCATGATGATCTAACTGGCCTGTTTTCATTCTCATCTATCAACCTTCACTGGTGCTCCGCATGCGTATACCGTTAACGCAGGCGGGGTTACCATACCATTTTCACCCATAAAAAAAACCGTTTTATTTCCTCTACTTATATTTAATGTCTACCCACTTAGAAAGATTTTTTTTAAATATTTCCAAGATGTTAACGGCGAATCGAATTAATAATTTAGAAATTAGTAAATTAACTTTCTAATTTTTTTTTCTTTAAATATAATCATCGAAGTAAAACAAAACAATAAATACTCAGTTATGTACACCTGTAATCTTCTAGAATAATGTCTCTAAAACTAATTCAAATAATTAAAGTTTAGATTTCAAGAAAAAAATAATTTGGATTCAATTTGAAGACTGTAAAAATAATATACATACAAAATCACAAATTTAGCAACTACTTCTATTTAAAAAAACGAATAACCAAAATAATTTATAGCAAAATTTTTTGGTTACTTTTTAACTACACGTAAATGTTTAACCCAACCGTCCATTTCAATTAACATTTTTAGTTGAAAAGAACTGAACTGACAAGGAACTAAACCTATACATATTTTTTTTTGTCAAAAATAGTATGTAAAATAAATGTTAAACTATATACGTATATTTAATATCTCAGTTTTCGAATATATAGACGATAAGTGACGGTATTCGCTTTCCATCAGGTGGGCCGTCAGCTTGTTTGCCATTCTAAGTTATATAAAAAAATTCATACACAAGTTATGATAGACGCCTATTATCTTGATTGATTGTGATAATAAAAACTATTCCGTAACCGTGATATTGCAAAGTGATATATCAACCATTGGGACAGCGGACTGTTCGGAGACTCAAAATTAAATCGCACCTGTAACTTATTATTCTTAGAATATATGTTAAATCCTACTACTGTTATAAATAGTTTCAAGAGTAGACTTAAAGAGCATCTTCTATCTCTATGAACATATATTTATTTATCTATATGTGTAGATATATTGTATGTATGTGTATGTATGTGTAAGTATATGCATAGGTATAAGTATTAAACCACCATGGCTAATACCATTAACCACTATGACTAATATTTATTGCATTCGTCACGATGGACTAACAAACCTGCTTTTTTTTTTATACAACTTAATGGCCAACAAGCTGACGGCGCACCTGATGGAAAGTGGTAACCGTCGCCTATAGGCATGAGCAGTACCGTGGACATAACAGAATATACTGTTTCGCCCATGATACCCCCCATGCGTTGCCATTCCTGAGGACTCAGGTGTTATTCCTCTTTACCCAGTAAATTCACGCCATATCCCACCCTTCAAACCGAAACACAGTCATGCAAACACAACTGCTTCACGGTTGAAACACGAATGGGACAGAGGTACCCAAGCAATTGACTTTTGTACAAAGTCTCCCTCTGATGCTTTCATGCTCATCTATCATCCCTCACTGGTGCCCCGCCAGTTTATATCGATAGCGTAGGCGGAGTAACCATTCCATTATCATCCATTAAAAAAAACAGGTCCCCCGTCTGCGTAAACAATAAATGTGACATGCGATAAAAACATAAACACCACTGATTAAATTAAACCACGCGGCAAACGCTATCTTCTGTTATTGTACTTCTATAGCATTGTTTCTCAAACATTTTTACGTTTTTTAACTATTTTTTTTATGAAATGGTATCCCCGCCTGCGCTATCGGTATACACTTATGGGGTACCAGTGAAGGATAATAGATGAGGATGAAGGTCAGTTAGCCCATCGTGACGAATTCAAGAAGAATTATTCATGATGGTTTCCAAGGGAAACCACGTGGAAGTCGACCTAATAGGGCACATAGATAGCGACGGGGCTCAAAAAAAATTCAAAATCCATTTCTAACAATCCCTTTCCACCCACATTTTTACGTTGCGACCCACAAGAAACTCAAAAAGTAAAGTACCTATTTATTCTTCAATTCCTTCTACCCAAAAGTTGTTTGGAAGAGATTTCTTAGCAATAAGACCGTGCCTTTTGTACTACACTATACTTATTGAAAATTCTTCGACAAGTCCTGTAATATTGGTATAATAAATTGTTGAATAAATAAAATAAATTAATAAATAAAGAGTCGACGAATGCGACCCCGTCTCTATATATATATATATTTTTTTTTACTTTAAATAGCGGTACGCCAATCGAGATGATTTTAATATTCGAATAATAAATAATTACTAATTTTATAATTGGGTTACTAAATTAGTATCTAATATACTAATTTTCGTATAATTACACAGTCGGATTAATAAAGTTGTGTTAAACGAATCTTTCGAGGTCTTATTAGTTTTCAACAGACTGCGGCCCCCTTTAATAACAAACGCGACCTTCCCAAGGGTTGCGACCCCCCGGTTGAGAAACAATGTCCTACAGGTTGATGACATAGTAACATGACAAAGACATCCTGATAAATGTATTTAATCTTTGGATTAATGTTTGTAAATTGTTTATATATTTATATTAGTCTTTAACCGCGACTTCGTTCGCTTAATCGGAATGTTTTCAAATCTCAAAAATAAAAAATAAAACAATTAAATGGATCACTTTTCAATTACCTATCAAGATAAAATATAAACCAAAATTTAATGCAATAGTTTTTGCCATCTTGCAACCCTATTGCAGCATATAAAAATCGCGATTAAAAAACAGGAGTTGATCGTAAAACAGTGAAAATTTGAGGTTGTATGTATTTTTCAATGCTGAATCATAATAAAATGGAAAAATTAGTAAAAAAAATTTAAAAAAAAATTTGGGGAGGGGTATGAAAAATAGATTGGCCGATTCTCAGATCTACCTAATACGCACACAAAGCTTCATAAAAATCGGTAAAGCCGTTTCGGAGGAGTTTGGTAACAAACACCGTGACACGAGAATTTTATATATAAGATTGAAGTCGTTTTTCTTTTGTAGAACAACAAAAAAATCGACTTGAATAGTACAAAACTAGTTATTTTGATTTAAAAAGTAATTTGATCAAATCTCTATGGAATCAATCTATAAACTTTCTTCCACGCACAACCACTCTTTGGAATCAACTTCCAGCAGCAGTATTTCCAAACCGATACGACATCGTAACCTTTAAGAAAAGAGCATATTCCTTTTTAAAAGGCCGGTAGCACACCTGCAATGCCGTTGGTGTTATGAGTGATCATGGGCGGCGGTAGTCACTTACCATCAGGAGGGCCGCATGCTCGATTGCCCTCTGTGTTGTAAAAAATAAAACAACCGAATTAAAAACCTAGTTCTTTTTGAAGTCGCTTATAAACAGATATAGTTCATTTCCTATTTACTATAGTGGATTTAAGTTACAGAATTGACATTTTATGTAAAATTAAATACAATCGTAATCTTTTATAATTAATTACTAGTAATAATTATTGTAAATAACTTGACATGTACAAAAATTGTAATTACCTAGTAGCGTGTTGGAGTTA